CACTGGTCCCCCGTGCCCCCGTCACCCCCTTCCCATGCCCCAGCGCCGGGAGCAGCCGTCGGCCCCGAAGGGGAAAAGCCGGGCCGGCAGCTCCCCGGGGGCAGGCAGTGGGATTTTGGGGTGAGTTCAGACAGCATCTGCAGCACCTGGCCCCAGTTAAGGTTTTTACTTTTCCATTGCCATTAGGAACATTTCTATTACTGGGGGTGGCAGTCAGGCTCCTCCTCAAGGGCTTATAGGGCCAGTCCATCCCTTCCTCCGAGCATGGTGAGCTACGGGTGCCTGGGATCAGTGTCCCAGGTTGGAGTTGACTTTGGGTAATCATGAATAAACACCTTCAGGTTTGAAGGCATCACCAGCCCTTTCAAATGTTCTTTGGCCGTGGTTAGAGACTGAGCCCTTGCAGGCTGGTGGGTGATGGAGCTTGGCTCTGCCGTGCGTTGTTACTGGTTTGGGGAGCTGCTGCGCAGGAGTTGGCTGTTTGGGTAAAAGCACTGCTGAAATGATGAAATTGGGCTGGTGGGTCGTGGCCTGCAGGCAGCCTTGGGGTTTGCTGCCCTGTGCCGGCCGGCGCACACGGCGTTTCTGTGCCAGTTTTTACTGGGAGCCGGTACTGGTGGGCAGGGGTGCAGGGGCTCCCTGACAGTGCTGTGATGGATTAAGATGATCCTGAATTTCTATTGTTTTGTAGTCAATGTAGTGAGAATTGATGGCCGGTGTATCCAAGCAACGAGGGGGGGGGGATGAGAGAGCTTCAGCTTCTGCAGGACTGTAATATCTCTGGCAAGGTGCAGCTCTCGCCATGGAGCTGTCTTTTGTATTCGTTCAGACTTGGTGTTACCTCTGTGAGCTATAAGAGGAGAATGGAGATTTGTATCATGGGGGGGTGCGTAACTTTTGCTTGAGTTTGCTTTGATTTGCATTTGGTCCCTGGCTTTTGCATAGGGTAGGCTTGTTGCCTTGGATAGCCTGGGTGCCAGAAGTGTAAATGGATTAAAAAAGGAACCAGACAAATTCAAGGAAGAACAGTTCCTCTCCAGCACGTAAATGCATGCAGTGGATACGAGCGCTGGCTCGGCGAGCCCCTGGCTGCAGGTCGGTGGCAATGGGAGGTTTCAGCGGGAGATGGATGGGTCTCGGGGTCTCTGCTCCTCTCTGCACCCCTTTTCCCTGGGACAGGACCTGCATGGGGCAGGTATCTGCCCTGATGCTATGGGCACCCACAAACTGGTTGCTTCTTGTTTTCTGCAAAAGTTAGTTTGGAAAGATGCTGCAGGCAGACACACAAGATGCACAGCGTGTCCCGAGCATGGCTGCTGGCTGGGGAGCCCTTGTCCCCTGGGATTTACCCAGGCGGTTTATTAACCCTGCTATTGGCGTACAGCAAGACGGTTTTTATGTGTGCTCAGGGGCTACCCTGGTGAAATCCTGTTCCCCTCCTCTGGGCGCACACCAGCAGCGACCGGCCTACGCTCTGCATAACCTCCCTTGGTGGCCCCATGGGATTTTGGCAGTGCCC